CATGATCAGCATCCCTTCAAGCAATGGTTGCGTAAAAAGGTTATCATACCCTGGTTATATAACAAAGCTGACCTTACCGTCTCTGTAAGTGAAGGTATTGCCCACGAGCTGAAAGAGATCTGCAAAGTAAAGCGGGTAACGGCTATCCCCAACTTTTTTGACCTGGAAGGTATCCGCCGGAAATCATTGCAGCCCATCCCGGAGCAATATGAAATGCTCTTTGCGGATCATCCCGTGCTGATCACTTCAGGCCGGCTGGCCGATCAGAAAAAACAGGCTATTTTACCAGTCATTCTAAAATCATTACGTACTGCGGGCGATACTACCACTAAACTGGTGATCCTGGGCGACGGTCCTTTACGGGATGAATTAATACAAAAATCAGTTTCCGCAGGTTTAAAAGTTTTTAATGTTTGGGATGCTCAATGCCCTTATCATGAAGACTATGATGTTTATTTCCTGGGTTATATCGACAATCCATACCAGTATTTAAGACGAAGCACCCTGTTTCTTTTCCCTTCTGCCTGGGAGGGTTTCCCGATGGCATTGTGTGAGGCCATGGTAACCGGTATCCCTGTACTGAGCGCCGATTGTCCGACCGGGCCGAGAGAAATTCTGGCACCCGGTACTGCAGACATCCGCTATTCATTGGCTAAGACAGAGTACACAAGCTTCGGTGTTTTATTGCCGATGGTCGATAAGCCGGGTTGTGAACAAGAATGGGTTGCTGCCACCACCTTACTGTTAAGTAAAGAAGGGCAGGAACAGGCTACCGCGATGAAAATAGCCGCTGCTGCACGAATGACCGATTTTAGCAAGGAAAAGATCATAGAGCGCTGGATGAATGCGATCAACAGTTTATAACCCATCAAGCGTATATAATGAGCCATCTGCGTATCCTTCTCATCGATAATTCGCTGTATCCTACCGGGGCTATCCGTTCCATCCTGAATATGGCCACAGAGCTGAAGGGAAAATGCACCTTTCAATTTGTGCTCTCTGAAAAGAGTAGTCTCACAGAATCATTACAGGCTCAGGGTTTTAAAGTACACACCTTGCCATTCCTGGAAGTGAGCAAAAGCCCGGCGGTAATCGGTTACCTGCCCAGGTTATGGGCGAATGCCGGTAAGCTAAAGCAGATCATACAGCAGGAGCAAATAGATATTGTACATGTTAACGATCTCTATAACCAATTGGGCAGCATGCTGAAAGTGCGAAAGGTTGGTGTGCCCGTGGTATATCATGCGCGGCTGTTAGCCAGCTCCTATATCGCTAAGTTTTATGGCATATTTGCCGGCCTTATCAAAAAATATGCCGATCATATAATCGGGGTTTCGTCTGCCGTATTAAGGGATATCGGCGCTACCCGGTCCATTTCCATTATTTATGACGCAGCCCCGGTTGTAGAAACATTACCTGCCTGGGACGGGCTAAAAAGTGATCAGATCCGGTTGTTGTATATTGGCAACTATGTTTCGGGGAAAGGACAGAATTACGGTTTGGAAGCCTTTATTCAGCTACAAGATCAAATGCCGGGCAGTACGCTCCGTTTTGTAGGCGGATGCCATTCGCCGGCAGATGAACAGTTTAAAGCAAGCCTGCAGGCCCGTGCACAGGCGGCCGGTGTGGCCGACCGGGTGATTTTTGACGGCCCGGTTTCAGATATTGAAAAAGAAGCCAAGAG